CAAGAGATAAGGCGACAAGACAAATAGCAGGAAATAAGATAATTGGTGAAAAAAGAAAAAACTAAATTCACCGCTTCTTCTGAATTAGTGTTGAGAACTACTCTGCACGAAAAATAGAAAAAAACCAAATATTTCACGCGCCTTCTTAATGTGACGTGTAGGTTGCAGAGAGCTAGCCTGACTCTTGCAGAGGAAGTTCATGGTGCCGAGACACAAGACTGCCAACCCACTATTCACTATTAGGGCAAGTACGCGTGCAAAAATAATGTCTCGGGAGATGTATACTAGAATATGGAAAACAAATTTAAAAAAACTCTTAAATCTTCACCGCCGCCTTCTTGAGAGTAATATCTACGTGTGTAAAGTATTGATCCTGCACGAAGAAGTCAATGGTGCCAAACCTAGACTGCATTCCTGCATTAATTACAAATTATACAGAATATACGTGTCCAAAGAGAACGGGAAAATTTATTAATCATACCAGAATTTGTTAGAAAAAAGAGGAAAAAAACTAAATTTCACACCGCTGCCTTCTTCTATGACAATTCGTGTGTGAGTAACCTATTCTGCACGAGACAGGTTCAAAGGTGCAACCTGACTGCAATCCACTATTCTTTTAGGGAAATACGCGAAAAAAGAATCGGGAAATATATAGAAATTTGGGATGAAAAAATGAGAAAAAATAATTAATCCAGCTAGATATTCTGAATTTACTGTTTTAGAACTAATCTGCACCGAAATAATGACCAGAAACTTTAAAAGCACTCGCTGGCCCTTACTAAAATACGTTGAGTGAAGAACTTACTGCTGTCAAAAGAGAAGTTCATGGGCAAACCAGACTGCAATCCGACTATTAGTTGGAAAATCTGCTGTAAAACAAATATCGGAAATATCTTGAGATAAATTTGGTTGATAAAAATTAAAAAAAAACTAAATTTCACCGCTTCGATTGAAAATTAACGTTTGCTGTGTGATACTACTCTCAGCAGCAGAGAAGTTCAATGTTGCAAACTATGAGGCAATTCGAAATGATATCATTGGGAAATACGCGCCTACCAAATCCGGGTAATGTATACAAGAAATGGTGAAACAATTGAGAGAAAAAAACAATCACAACCCCCACATTGCTGAATATTTACGTGTGTGAGTACTACTTTGCACGAGAAGTCAAGGGTGCAAATCAGACTGCAATTCGTACGTATCTTACTTTAGAAATACCCGTCTAACAATAGCGTGTATTATAAAAGTAAAATTTTGGGTGAAAAAATGAGAAAAAACTAAATTCACCGCTTGCCTTCTGAAATTACTGGTTGAGTACTTATTGCTGTCACGAGAAGTTCAATGTGCGAAACCAGACTGCATCACGACTATTACTAGAGGAAGATAACGCGTCAAAAAAATATTCGGAAAGGTATATAGATAATATGTTGAAAAAAAGAAGAAAAACTAAACTTCACAGCTGTCTTACTGACATTACGTGTAGTGATACTAAACTCCTGCAACGCGTCATGAAGAAAAACGTGCAAACTAGACTCCGCATCCGACCCAAACTAATGCCGGAGAATACGCGCAAAAACAATCGGCGAAATAATAAACACTTTCTGGTGAAAAAAGAAGAAAAACTAAATTCGCACAAC